TGCTGTGCTGAGTCCCAATGTGAATTCCCTCAGACTGACAAGACCTATCTCATTCTGTGTCCAATATTAGGCCTCAATACGGCAAACATCAAAGTTCTGTTCTCTATGCAAGACTAACACCAGAACTACGGACAAAAAGCGAGCAGAATGATTCGTACCAGTCGGTATGGAGATCACCAGGGAGTCAGTAGCACACCGCTCTAGGTCTTCCACAGCCGGAACAGAAGCATGACACCTTCGCATCACGGATGAAAACAATTTACATGCTTCTCGCCATGTGAGCAACAGTGTTGTCAATGAACTGGTTGCACTGCAGGAAATACGCCTCGCTGGAGTAGTGGCGCTGTGATTCTCCGCATCATTTCCTCACTCCTTGCGAATGAGAATTGCTTCAATTTTTCCGCATCGTTTTGACATATATGAATAGGAAAAATATTCTCCTTGCACCGACCCTTTTCTCCATATCATTTCAGCAGAAGGGGGGGGATTCAGGGCCGGATGAAGAAGTTGCGAGGCTGGGGGCCGCTGAATTCCTGGGGCTCCCCCCCTCCCCCCGCTACTTTACGCAAATACAATACTTTTTTTTTTGAACTTAACGTTTTTAATTTCCTTCGGGGGGCCCCCTGGAAGAGTGGGGCCCGGGGCAACTGCCCCTTTGCCCCCCCCCCCTCTTAATCCGGCCCTGGGGGGATTGCAGGCGTCGAAGACAGGCCGCACCTTTCTGAGAGCGAAAGAGCTCCCCTTTCATTTGTCGAGATTCGAGTTTTGAGCTTCGAAACATCCGGGTACAGATGGAAACCTTCATTGTACAAATTCTGGGGGAGTTTCACTGTTCTTCGACGTACCCTGCAAGATAGAGAACATCGTTATGGTTTGGTTTCCAATGAAAACCAGGAATGTGACTTCTCCCGAAACTGAAGTTTTCGTCATACCATTTGTTCTTATGTCTTTCCTCATCTGAATGTTGACGAGGAAATCCCATCCTGTATCCTCGTGCAACAATGAGAGAGAACGACGAAAATCGAGCCGATTCTGGCAGTGTATCATGTTTGCGAGACGTCTTCCAGTCGCGAGACAGGTATGGCCGAGAGTTTCCTGCTTTTATAGCACCATATCTAAAATAAAGAAAAAGATGCAAGAATCTTCGAAATGCACAAGAAAACCGAACGCTCACTCGATCTTCTGGAGCAGATATAGTCCTTTCATAGCGTGGAGTTCCTTCTTCCGTTTACAACACATGGGAAATCCTCCCCGACTGCTTCTCTTTTCTTCTGGAAAAAGTGTCATTCACTACTCTTTTTTTTTCTTTTTTTTTTTTACGCAGGGACGACGTGGAGGACGAAGTGAAGGGCTTGCTTCCTGTAGATGGAGTTCTCAAGGCCATAGAAAAACGTGTTGTTCCGAGGGATCCTCTCGAGAACGAGTACAGAGAATAACAGGCGAAACGGGTCCCGGAGACGAATGGTAACTACTTTATTATTGCGGCTGTCTGCTTTTCTCCTTATGACGAACGGACAGAGGCGTTTCTCGTGTGAGTGGGGGGGGGGGAACACGATTGATTGACAATTGATTTTGGATTATTTGTTCGTTGATGAATGCTCGACACGAGATTATGATCGTACGTACTGCTTTCGGTCTGATGGCCAGAAGAAGAGGAGAGTACTATTTTCCTTATCGTAGACGTTTATGTGACTAATGGGGAATTGTTGAGGCGGATTCCACGTTATCTCGACGTCGTCGATTCACTGAAGCCTCAAATTAATATCATCGTCATGAGATAGTGGAGAACCACTTTGGAACGGCACGCGCGGAAGCAACGCTGACGATGTAGCCCAGGGGTGTCAAACTCGATGGAAGCCTTCAGGGGTGATTAATAAAAATCGAACACCTAATCTTTAATGCAAACAGGCTGAAATTTGCGGTACTTTTCTGTAACCAACTGTTGAGGAGGACTTCGCAGGCCGGACAAAATGGACTGGCGGGCCGCCAGTTTTACACCCCTGATGTAGCCGAAGACCGACTAAGTTTCACTCGACCTCGAAAAATAAATTGACAAGAGCAGCCGATTGTGGCTATATATATGTATGTATAATTCACTTCTTCTGCTCTCCCTCGCTCTAAGTTGCCTTGAAAGCAAAATAATTGAGAAGTGACCATGATTTTTTTTTATTCATTGGCAGTTCGAAGATAAGCCTGTGTACCATATAAGGTAACTGGGGGAAATATAGGCACATGTGGAATATAGGCAGCTGTTCGTATTCCCTCGCAGTACTCCTGCCGAGAGAGACAGACAAAAGAATCTGCTTAGTTGGCAATGTTGCTCTTGTAATAGTGCTTCGTCTGTCAGAGAAACGCTTTCGTTCCACTAGGTGAGTTTGTGCCATGAGGATTTAAAATGACAAGGTCTTCCATTTTTGTCAATTTGTGACAAAATGTTATTTAGGGCGTGTCTTTCATCGATCTCCAGCAGTGGAGCTACACGCTCGATTTCCGATGAATCGAAAATCTAGTTAATAGTATTTATCGATCGATAAATAGTTTAAAAGAAGTCCGTATGTGGTGCAATGGACTCGTCCATAGCGATCGTACTTTCATGATTTCCACATAACTTTGACAGTGCCACTTGGAGTAAAATGGAAAATCGAATTTTATCTGTTTAATCGTGTTTCAGATATCAACAGTTCGATGAACACTCCGACAGGCACATATGAGACTTAGGAAACATGCTCGCCGTTTCAAACGGTTCCATGAGAATTAAGCTGGATCGCTTAATCTGCTAGGACTGTGATTTACTACGAGAAATATTGCTTCCTTTAGCTGTACGAAACCTAAACGCACAGTTGAAGAGTTGCACTGTCACTCTTAAACACGGTCTCGTCATGTTCGCGCCGACTCGAGCGTGAGCACGACCCCAACAGAACATTCCCCATAGGAGGCGCGAGGCTTCAAAACACTAGGTACGCGGACCGACCTCAATCCGCGACGAAAATTCCGGAACTCTACCCGATTCACTGCCTGCCCTGCCCGTTGATATTCAGAAGTTCTTCCTCGGCTTCGATCGCGCTTATCCTCGTTTCCGGATTCCCGTCAGGAACGGTAGTGGTGGACTAGATACGAATTCGCTAAGGAAAAATAAACACGCAGGGGCACATCGTGCCCTTGAAGCCCTTGGGGCTCCTCTAAATTCCGAGTATTCACAAATCGGTTTAACCTCTAAGAATGCACCAAGCTGGGGCGGAAGCGCTTCCGCCCCAGCTTGGTGCACTTCGTCCTTCGCAATCATCCAATAGCCCCTACTCATCGGAATAAAGCGATCTGCACTCAATTACGAACTATTGCTGAACATGTAAGGAATGGGAAGTGAATTGCCACGACTCTTGTGACGTGCGACTGCATCTGTAATTTTTTTTGTATCTGATATCATAATCTCATCATCTGGATGATGTTAGGGTGGGAACTTTTCTTTTGGAAAGAAACATTTTTGAAAATTTTATTTTAATATCGCTGACGACTTCTCAGGGGGAGCGTTTGTCTACTCGTGACACGTTTCACGGGGAGTTAAATCGAGCACTCGATGTCGCGTCTATTTTCTTCGGGGTTATTCTGTCATCAACCCGGAGATGAGGGAATAAAAAACCAATTTTGAAAGTAGAATTGACGATGGGTTTTCTTGGCCATCCGAGGACACCTCTTGAGAAAAAATGGCACTTGACCATGTGGCGTTCTCATGGGTGTGATGGTACGGTTTGCTGACTTGGCCTTCTGGCGCCCTTCTTCGACTCGCCTTTACGTAACCGGTTGGGACAGGCTTGCATGGGCTTTGATTGCGGACTTGAGCTTCTTTGAGCTCTTAGTGTTCCTGTCGTGTCAAGCGAATCGTTGGAGAAGCTAAAGCAAAGCTAGGCCTCCACTTGTAAGTCGGTGCCTATGAATCTGCGCCCTTGACCTATCTAATAAAGAGGTCGAAGCCTCATAATACATTTAGGGATATATATAATAGAGCCTAACTGTTGAGGCGTTTTAAACCTACCAGGGTCTTAATTCAGGCAGTTAATCCTTTCAAGTTTTGCGTAGCCCATTAGGCCGAGGTCTCTGCTGTGAATCTGAAGTGTCATGAGTTTACTGGTTTCTATTCACTTTCTAACGTTAGGTAGCAAAGTGATAGGGTACTTTCTTGGAATGACTTATTGGGGTTTAGTCTTGGCATATCTATATGGTATGGGCAGGTCTTGGATGATCATAACCTAGGCCTGCAAAACTGATTATTGTGAGCTGTTTGCCCCAGCTTTACTAAGAAAGTGCCATTACTTTGATTTTAGGGTGCCTATGAAGCCAGTTAACATGAACACACAATAGGCCTAGCTATGCTTATAAGCCTGCTCTGTATTTAGAATGATGTCCCATGTTTTTAGGTTGACTCAATGGATTTTAGGTGTACAATTGTTAGTGTGTTGGTAAAGGAGTAGGTTACATGAAGTGTTGTCAGAAGGTCCTTGCTGCTACCCTATTACAACCATGTGCACTGTATAAAGGACAATTGGTTGTTGCTGTTTTTGGACCTTTGAAAAACCCAGTCATTTTGATGCTATGGTTGTGATATGACAATTTTGGTAGGTTTGTTAGTGTCTTTTTATGAACTGGGTTAAAATATGAATTCACAATTGCAGAGCCAAGAACTGTGGTAAAATTCCTTTCAGCATGCAGAAAAAAAAACCTGTTGACATTCATTGTCAGCTGAAGGAAGAGTGCAGGGATGATTTGCTTGCTGAGAACAGCATCTCCAAGGGCATGCAAGAGTTAGCAGCTGGAAGAGTTTTCACCAACTCCATTCTGGAATACAAGTTCTGTTCTAGAAGGTCCAGAACTGTGACATATGACAAACATATTGCTTGTGGAAGATCTAGTGATGCCAGACTGACATATGTCCATTGGTGATATTGCAGGAAGACTAGGACTTGCCCCCTAGAACCAATGCAAAGATTCTGTTTGATGAGCCAAACATGAGCAATGTGAGTGCCTGTTGGGTGTCCCAAATGCTTTCCAAGGGCATAAAGCAGAGCTATCTGGCCACTTCTTCTGCCTTGGTGACATGAATACAAGCATACTCAACAAATTTCTTAGGCCATGTGGTCACTATGGCTGACACATGGTTCCTACTTTTCAGTATCAAGACCGATAGACAGTGAAAACAATAAATGTTGCATACTAATTCCCCACCATCCAAGAAGTTTCAACAAGTTGCTTAAAATGAAAAGATTTTGTACATTTTCTGGCATTAACAAGGCTTTATATTGGCTTATGCTGTTCCCAAGGGTCAAACTATCTGTGCCAAGTATTACCAACTCCAGCTCAAAACAGAGCAGTGGACTACTTGAACCCAGAACTGGCTCATTAAAGTTCAAATTGTGCTAGGATGATGCACCACTGCACACTGCCAGCATTGTGACAGAGTTCTTGGCTGAAAGGGGTATTGAACACTTATTACATCCTCCCTATTTGCCAGGTCTTGTTCTGAGTGACTTCTGGCTGTTGGGCAAGCTCAAGGATTTAGTGCAATGAAAAAAATACCCTTCAAGACAAACTTTTGACTCTGCAGTCTACCAGTGGTTCAAACATACACCCAAAGATGACTCTGCCAAGTGCTATTAAGTCTGGTTGAAACAGTGGCAACTGTGTTTAGAGAAAGGAGACTTTGTTGAGAAGGGAGAGAAGTGGCCTATGTGATGTTATTCATTAAACAAAGTTTAATGAATATTATCATACAAGGTTTGATGTGTCAAAAATGTGTATTAATTTTAACATGGATTTTAAAAGAAACCCTCAATACTGTAGGTCTACATAGTCTACTATATATACTACTGAAAGACTTTGCCATTATGGAAAATGGAAACTGCCAGCAACCAGTCAGGAACCAATTCTGAGGTTACAACCCTGCATATCATATGAGCTTAAGCAGTAATTTAATGTTTTATCTTATCTCAAATATCTGTTTCTGGCTCTTGTTTTTCTCATTTATCCATGTAAATGATATGCAAACAACATTAATAGGACTTGAAATCATATGGTAATGTACTTTCTTGAATAAGTGTACTGAATTATGTGACAAGAGTTTTTTAACTAAATATTTTATTTTATATTTAGGTCTTATTTCCAACTGGACTGTGTCTGCCAGAAGGGACCAACATATACTGTCAAATCATGGACTTCTTTGATGCTGATGATTATGAAAGTTTACCCACAAATAGCATGACAGCATACATGGTTGCTGGTTCTTGTGCTGGTATTATGGAACACTGCATCATGTACCCTGTGGACTCAGTTAAGGTATGTCAAAGATGCCTCAATCTATCTTATTTTATGGGTTTGTGTGTCAGCCAAGTCTGGGATTTTGCCACCTGACATGACATGTGATTCTGACTTAGTGGGAATCAGTGGGTTTTACTATTGATGCTATATCTGGCTTCTATCCTTCATGGAGAGCATATGAGTTTAAAGCAATATCATTACCTACTTGTCTTAGAGGGATGCTTATCCTGTGGCTGTAGCATAAATGTAAATTCTACTGGTTGAAGTTCACAAAGTCCTATGTCACTTCAGAAAGAAGCATGTTTTCAGGAGACTTATGAAGGTTGTGAGAGTAACATTGAATGTATCTTAATGAAACTAAGAAAAATGTGATTCCCTTCTTTGCAATGCACTTAGTAAAGGATGTCATTGTATGAAACTTCATTCCCAGGCACAAATCATTGTTGACCTCAGCCAGCTCAGCACCATCGATTTGGAAACTGTCAATTCCTTCAAAGCAGTATCACACAATGAAACCTCACCTCAAAGCATACTTTGCTCTCCATGAGATGGTTGTTGAATAAGGCAAAGCCAATAGTCCATAGATTTTCTCCTTATTTATTGAGTGAAACTTAGGTCATCAGAACAAAAAAAGGCCTTACATGGATGGAGTTATAGTAGGCAGATTGTAAGGTTGTCATGAAGAGAAAAAAAAGCATTGGGCTCCTGAGACATCCCCTGCAATATCTATTAAGTTTGAGGGATAGGGTTAAATTTTTTAAGGCTATCATAAATTGAAATTAAAATGAAATAGGTCTTAAATATGACCAGTGGCATTACTGGGATTGGGATCAAGGGTATTAATGCCTTCAATAGTTTATTCTATGTACATCAGAGTGCTAAAAAGTTTAGTTAATCTCTCTGTCTTCTTGTCTCTTCATTAGGGAGCCATGATACTTTGAGGATTAATCTACCTCTTAGTAGAGTTGAATCCTTATAAGCCCTGTCTTCTCAATAAGTTTCCATAGTGATAATTCTCCTTATACATGGCTCATAAGTTTTTTTTTTCAGACAGGCAAGTTTTTGTAGCTTTGACAGTAATTCATTACTGACAAAGCTGGCTAAACTTCCACATTTAACTGTTCCATTTTTCTAATAACAAATGTAACTGGAACTTTTAACTGGTATCCCACTCATGGAATGGGACATGGTATCAAGTGAAATAATGTGTATATATAGTGATTACTTAACAAATTCCCATGAAGGACACCCATGCACACCAAACTGCTTTTTGAAGACACGTTATGCAGTAACCACTGATATCCTGTTCCAGAACTAGAGTTCTGCTGTTGCTGCACTATGTTCTGTTGTCCAATTATCTATGGTTTGAACTGATCCCTCAACCTTCCAGGAACAAATGCAAAAAATTCAAGTATGTAACTTTTCTCAAAACATGATTATTCAGCAAAACAAATGGTTTATAACTTTTTGGTCCCCATTTATATCAGCAGGAAATTTGGCACAGGATCAATATGCTCTGCCCATGCCAAGTGAAATAATATATTTATGACTGCAGTGCTCTCTGAGCTCCCAAAGGGTATCTTCCACCCCCCCCTTTCTCCATCCCAAAAGGATGGAGGAAGGGGGAGTGGAAGATATCCTCTGGTGGAGGAGTATATGATAGGGGGGAACCCACTTCATTCCTTCAATCTGGTTGCACCATTAAGTATGGCTGATTTCAAAGCAGCAGTTCAGTTCTAGTTTCAGTTCAGACTATGGTCTGACTGAAGTTCAACTGTCAACTTCTATCACAAAGAAATCCTTACTGGAACCAAACTGCTACAGAACTATGACTGGATAGCAGTTTTGGAATCGGCCTAAGATTCATAGCAGCTCCCATTAAAATGAAACAGCTTTACTGGCTTTTTTTAATGCAAAATAGAGGCCTTTGCATAGAGTTGGCTCAATGAAGATGTATGAAAGCCCTCCTTGAAGTTTTTAGGCATGGATGGGGATCTTAAGCATTGATCCCCAGGTATATGCATATTGGCATATCTTTTTCACTATTGGCTTGATTGTACTAGTCTGCAAATGGATGATCAAAATGGAGAAAGTGAGGTGATGAGGGCTCAGAAGATGATGTCCTTTGGCTCAGTTCATGAAGATGTAAGGATTAACCCCTTGGTGTTTGACCCAAGCCTATCTCAGGGTACTGGTTCCATGTAAATAACATTTGACCCAAGTGAGTCTTGTGCTAAAGCTAATTATTGTTTCCTGTAATGTTAGACTTGTGTGGATGCCTCGGCTGGATTCAGTACATTGATACCAAACTTGCTGGGTTTGGAATAAAAATGTTCATGCTGTGCAAATCATCAGGCTATGTCTGGGAGATCATTGTGTACACTGGGATAGGGACCAAATTTGATGAGTACTGCAATCTCGGAATGGCGTTGGCATCTGTTCTTAGTCTCATGGATCCACTTCTCGGGAAAGTTTACTGCCTGACGGTTGACATCTTTTACACATCACTAGAATTGGCTGATGTTATAAATGAGAAAACTGATGTTTATGGAAACATGCAACCTAATTGAAGAGATCTGCCTCAGGTATTCAAAAGCCTCAGTCTTCCAAAAGGTGCGATGGCTGTGTTCCAATGTGGAAAAGCAATGGCATGACAAGAAGTATGTTTGATTGATGAGCATCATACATGAACAACAGAGACTGAAAGTGAGAGGAAAAAATGGTGTCAAACCCAAAGTGGTACTTGATTACAACCACATAATGGGAGATGTGCACAAAGCAGATCAGTCAATGGTGTTTTACCTTGTTATGCGAAAGCAGCAAAAGAAGTATTACAGGAAAGTTTTCTGCCATCTTCTTGATCAAGCTCTTTGGAACTCCTATGTGCTCTACAAAAAGTTGAACCAAGGGAAACTGTTGGATCATGCAGATTTCAGGCTGAAGGTTGTTCAACATGTCATGGTAGAGTATCAGACTTCCACAGAGTCCAGCCAAAAGGGACAACCACCAACAACTCATGATAACAATCCCTTATGTCTTGCAGGACAACACATACTTGCAACTACAAAGAAAGAAAAGCTAACAAGAATGTGTGTGGTCTGCTGTTCAAAGAAAGATGCCTCTTTAAAAAAAAATTTGGAAAGAGACAAGGGATTATTTGTTTCCATGACTATCACACAAAGGAAAAATTTCTGGAAAGTATGAATTTGATTTCTGACCTGTTGTATTGTTTATATGTGCTACATGTAAGGCATTAAACAATAGATGTATAATAGATCTGTTGATTTTTAGCAGAAGGAGTATACAAAGAGTATAAAGCTGATGTACCTCATGCAGTGGAAAAAATAGAGATTTTTAAAAGTAAAGTTAAGCAAAAAAATGAAATGCTAATATGTGATTAAATCAGTCATTACTACTGTTGCACATTTCTTTCACAGCCTGCAAGCCCCAATTTTTATCTGTGATGACTTCAGCTTACAAAAAAGTCAACAGCCCTTTCATAGAGGATTCTTTTGTGTGTTTTGCCTCCATGTGAGACTACCCTGGATACCGTTTAGATTCTTACTCCTGTTTGGTCCTGATCTGGTCCACTTACTGATGGCATGAGGGGGTAGGCATATTCTACTCAGGGCCATTCCTAGTTTCATATCAACAAGTCAGTAGGAAATGGCTGAGCAAACATACCCTCTGTCATGCTTCCACAACTGGGTCCCATTGTAATGTAGATCTATACGTGAATCAAAGAGTCATACAATTATCAGAATGAGTAAGTGACAGACTTTTGCTCTTGTAAGTTAGTGTCTTTTATAAGTGAAAGTTTACTTGAGTTCTGTGATCTTCACTCTTTTCCTTTGACTTTTTCAGACCAGGATGCAGAGTTTGTGTCCAGTCACTGGTGCCAGACACATTGGTATATACGGTACCATATCCTCAATGGTACGGTATGAGGGCTTATTTAGACCATTCCGAGGAATGTCAGCTGTTGTAGTTGGGGCTGGGCCTGCACATGCCATGTTTTTCTCTTCTTATGAAGTTCTCAAGAACTACTTTTCAGTCTCAGGGAAAGTGAAAAGTGATCATACAGCACATGGTAAGTATATGTTGTATTACATCAACTACTGAAAAAGAAAAATTCTTAATTATACCAGTGTGATCCAAAACCTGTTTCAAGTAATTGGCACTTCATGGAAATTTTAATTTTGATAAATGAGTAAATGCAATTAGGTTAAATGAACCTCTGTTTCCATACATTTGTGTCTTTCCCATCCTGATAACAAAGAGACTCCCAGCCAATCTAACTACATGGGATTTGGTGACCATTTTTGCAGTCATTGCATTGAAACTATAACTAGTTGTAGCAAAAGAAATTATTTCTGATATTTTAAGCTTTTAAATATAGTTAATGCACTTGTAAGAACAGGCTACAGAGGGTTTTATTTGAATTAAACAAGTTTAAAATGTGTGATCTCAATTCTCAGTACTAATATCTTCAAGTTTGTTTTGAGGAGCATAGAGTGCCAAGGCACATTGTATTTATCTACATTTGTAGATACCTGCAGATGTTTGTATGGCCAGATTTTGCCCAAAGAATGCCTGCCTGGTATTTCAACTGACTTGCCATCAATAGCTCATGTGAAAGCTGCCTAGGAAGAAGCAAACTCAGTAATAGCAATTTAAAAAATTTTGGCTAAGGAGTGTATTGTGCTCCCCATGGTAGATCCTTGCAAGTATTGCAATAATGGCTACTGGATTGATTGAGCATCATAATGCTGCTCCTGGAAAGATCCAGGAACTGTGATCGCTGTTTTTTTGACTGCATCTGGTAGGTGCACATTATTAGTACCTAATGGTGCATCATTTTTCTTTTGTAGCCCTGGCTGGCTGCTGTGCAACTCTTCTTCATGATTCACTCATGGTGCCTGCTGAAGGTATGTTCTGCTGCCAGTAGCCATGATTTTTTTCACTATTCCCTTAGGATTCATGGTTTCCTGGTATATAAAGAGTGGCTCAAAAAAAAAAAAACTCTTTTGTATCAGATATGAAAGTATATGTTATGATACCATGAGTTCTTTGTTTCATCAGGATGAAAATGGCTGCTTCCATTTGGAAAAACTGCTACAACAGTCCTTGGCTGCTGTTTGAGTTGGAACAGCAACAGCTTTTAATAAGAATGCATTTTATTTCCTATGTCAATGTTTTAAGATGTGTTTCTTCCTCCTCCCTATTTTTTTTTTTTTTTTTACTAAGAAATGTCGTTCATCATTCTTCTGGCTTCCCATCCCTTTTAAACTCACAAAGTCTTGATCACCACCAAGTCTTCATGCGAGTAACTCAGTATTGCTTTGTTTTAGTAAAAAAAAAAAAAGATGTGTGGGAGAAGGATGAAACACATGTTAAAACATTCATGCATGAAATAAAATCTGTTTTTATTGACAACATCTGTCACTGCTCCAACTCAAATGGCAGCTGGGGACCAGAGGTGAGACCAGATTCAGATAATCTGTGGTTTGGATCAGATCCAACAGTGTCAATGCAGATTTTGGTCAGTTTAGGTTAGGGACTGTTAGATTAGGAATTCAAGTCGGTTTGGATAAGTCTTGGTTGTAAATCTGTTCCTGTGGATTGGATGTGGTCGGATTTACTCAATTGAAAAAATCCTAGGAAATCCAGACCTATCCAATAAATCTGCATTGAAGTTTTTGGATAAACCGAAAGAGGTAAGAAACATTGCTAGCTTGCTAATTATGAACTGAGAAAAGAATTTGGCTGGCTCTGGGATCCAGAAATGTCATTCCATGTCCAGAGAATAGATTTTTATGTGAATGGAGAGAGAAGGTATCAGTTCTGCCACCAGAAGACAGACTTCCTGCTTGAGTCTCTCAGCCCTCCTGTCTTTAAAAAAAAATTTTTCCTGATCCACTGCAGTATTGTGTTAGATTTCTCCATGCCTAGTGTCTTTGAACTCCCACAGTGTGTGTCATCTCAATGCAAAATAACAATTATGTGCAGCAAATTGGCTTGTGAACTGCCGCCGCACAAATCTGAACATTCAATAATGTTCAATCACTCTGTGAATGTACAAGTTTCATTAGAAGTTTAGAATTTTTCTGGATAACCGCAGATCAGTTCAGATTTGGATTTGTTTGCTTCTAACTAGATTGGTTCAGTTCAGAAAAGGCAGTCTGAACTCACCTCTGCTGGGGACTGTTGCAGCAGTTTTCTGAATGGAAGTGACCATTTTCATCCTAATGAAACAAAAAACGCATGATATCATATACTCTTATTATATCTGCTCCAAAAGAGTTGTTTCATGTGTGCCTAAAAACTGACTCAAACCAAGGCACTACAGCCTGATTTACAACTTGTTGAATAAATTTTTTTATCCACCCTGTATATACAGGGTGGTTAAAAAGTTCGTTGACTTCAGGTTTTTTAATTTTCCTCAAGCACAAGCAAGTTTTGCTCAAACAAATTGAACAGACACGACAAACAACATCTTTAGACTTTCATGTACTACTTTTCACTCAACATGGCCCCCTTTAGATCGGACACAGGCACTCAATCTCCCAGGGAATGCATCCACCGCAGTGCGAAGCACATCCTGTGGGATCTTCTCCCATTCCTTCTTGAGGACACGCTTCAGAGATGCGACGTTGTCATAGGACCTGCAGCACACCTTGGTCTCCAGAATGCCCCAGACGGCGTAGTCCAGAGGGTTGAGGTCTGAGGAGTGTGACGGCCATTCGTCAGCAGTGATAAGGCCGGGAAATTGGTCGCTGCACCATTTCTGAACATGACGAGCGTTGTGGGACAGCGCAGAATCTTGTTGAAAGATTCATTCTCTGCCATGGAAGTGTCTCTCAGCCCAAGGTTTTACAACGGCCTGGAGCATGTCGCGCTTGTAGACCTCAGCATTGATTTTCACCCCCTGATCAATGAAAATCAATGGTGTTCGCCCATCGGCAGTGATCCTGGCCCAAACCATCACGCCAGCAGCCTTCTGCTTCCGAGTCACGATTTGATCACTTGGAGATAGAGTAGATTGGTCAGCAGACCAATTCCAATTGTTTTGGCGATTTAAAGCGTGCTTGATGGTGAACAACTCATCAGAAAACAGGACGAGTCTGTGTTTTTTGCCTGCGAGCTGGCGTTTCAGATTCTTGCATCTGATAACCCTGTTCTTAGCGATTTCGTTGAGGAACTGCGCTTTCCTAATCTTGTAAGGATGGGCCTTGATGACATTTTTCAAGATGTTCATCATCAAGGATCTGCTGATTCCGAGCTCAGTGGCTAATTTTCACGCCGACCTTCGGGGATTCCAACGAATTCGATCCCGAACTCTTTTGATGTTGCTGGGGGTTACAGCAGTGCATGGTTGACCAGATCTCAGTCTGTCATCTATGTTCTGAGTCTCTTGAAACCGCTTGACCGTTTTGGAGACCAGCTGCTTTGAAACTGGACGAGGCAAGCGACCGAACAATGTCACAATTCCAATGACCGGCCTGATGGAACTCAATTATGGCAGCTCTAATTGTTTTCATGCTCAAATACAAAGTTATACGATCTCATTAGGACTTTTGGTGATAATTTGGTTTTCATAACACCTAAGCAGATACACAAAACAAGACAAAGTGGCAGTAACACTTTATTTGACTTTATCAGAGCGCGTCAAAAAAAGTCAAAGAACTTTTTAACCACCCTGTATATTGAATTTTCCTTTGCCTGAAAAACAGGAATGCTTCAGAATTTCCTTGAATTTCTAGAGCTTTCCATTTTCATTTTATCCATATGGCTATATGCTCTGGAAGGGTGAAGGCTCTGTAGTTCAAGAGAAATCAGCACTTGTTGCTACCTCTTATAGTAATCCTTTTGGAAATAATGATTTAATTGATCTCCCTGGTTACAAATGCTTTTCTTGAGCTGTGTTTCATTGTTTAGTTTTTTTTCCTTGCATTAAGTTAACTTCTGTCCTCCAAATGGGAATCTAATTGAAGTTTAAAACGTATGTTACATCATTTACAGCTGTGAAGCAGAGGATGCAGATGTATGGTTCTCCATACAGGCATGTGCTTGACTGCACAATCAAAATGTTCCAGGCTGAAGGCATTCTAGCCTTTTATCGTTCATTCACCACACAGGTTTTAATGAACATCCCCTTTCACAGCACCCACTTCACAGTTTATGAACTCATGCAAAATGTGACTAACTGGGAGAGAGATTACAACCCTGCAGCTCACATGCTGTCTGGTGCTATGGCTGGTGCTACTGCTGCAGCTTTCACAACCCCACTTGATGTTTGCAAGACCTTACTCAATACTCAGGAAGCTCAAGCACTCCAAAAACTCCACAAAACTCACATTCATGGAATATTCAATGCCCTGCGCACAGTGTACACCTTGAGAGGGATCCCTGGTTACTTCCAGGGGATGCAAGCTAGGGTCCTCTTCCAGATGCCTGCAACTGCTATTTCATGGTCCATCTATGAGTTCTTCAAGCACTTGTTTGCCAAAAGAGACAGTCAAAGGGAGAGTTTGTATGAACCAGTGGTTTTGAGTGCTGACAAGAGTGTGACAAAAACTCCACTGAAAAGTGAAAGAAGTGCTGGAGGATGGTCCATGGATGACTCAGGGATGACTCCAATGACCTCACCTCATCTACCTGTTCATCTACTGGACACAACATTCATGGAAAAGAGGAACTCATCCAGCATATTAATCCCAAAATAGACCTCTCTACATTCTTTTGTGACTCCCTGAAAGAGAAATTTTATGTCTCTAGTTGTGTTGTTAAACATGTTATCAGTGAGATTTACTTTGAAAGTGCCTTGGTCTCTGCCTGAGTGAGTGGTGGACCTTAAAAATATGCTAGTCACACACCCACACACTCTTTGTTTTGCAAGAATCTGTAATAGTTACATTACCAGCATCTGCAACTGATGAAAAAGCTAGTAATATCTTTTTTACCAGGTGATTTTTAAGCATCATTCAAGAGAATGAAATGAATTCCCAGTGTTTCTTGGTACTTTCACATGATTGCATATGTTTTCCATTTATTGTGCTTGAGTATACTTTGAGTGTTGCCTTAAGGCAAAAGTCTGGCCAAGTTGATGACTGTCTGCTGGCAAAGCTTAGATACAGTTACATTATCTCCAGAAATTTCCCCGAGGTAGAAATAGGGAGCATTTTGTGCCTTTAAAGGTATGAAAAGAAAAGCAGTCTAATCTTTTTTGTGGAATTTTCTTCAAAGTCCAATTATGAGAAGGCAGTGAAAGATTGTTGCTTTTAGTTGCCCCAAATTATCTCCTTTAAATGTCCTGAGGAAAATTTTCCATTCCAAACACCGCATTGAGTTCATGGCAATTTTTTCAAAATCGCTTAACTGGAAGTGTTGGTTTTTAGTAGCCATCAGATAGATCTTGTGTACACCTCCAGAATGGTGTTCAATGCTCAACATTGCATGGGAAAATAAAAGTGCCTATTTTTCCAGTCAGTCATGCAGTAATTGCTGAATACTGATACTTGAAGGGTTTGGTGGAGCAAGGTGTGGTGGCAATATTTTGTTTATACTTCTGAACATTTAGAGTAAAATTGTGGGGAAGAGGATCAAATGATTTCATTAATCCATTCTGGGTGCTTCCTAAATTCAGAAGTGCTCCTCCCTGCAACAGCTTTCTTATGCAACATTTTTATTATTTGGTTTTTGTGAATGACATAATGGTAACTTACAATCGTTATAGAAGTATCTGATGATATGATATGTTATCAATGGCATGATATATAGTTTCAAAAGGCACACTAACAGGAATTATCCCCAAAAATGTACAGTTCCTTTCTACCGCTTGGTTCTGACATCATCCATGCTTTTAATATGGCCAAGAAAGAATTGCGACATGAACCCAGTGAAGTACATGTGGACGAAGCTTTCAAATGTACTGACTCAAGTGGCCCAGTATCATGATCAACAGTAGAATCCAGTGAAGGATGCATGGGAGAATCTGCAAATTGACTTCAATTTTAGGTCCTTTCTCAACTGCTCCTTTTCAAGCAGAGTTCTGCATTGCTGCTTCAACTTCAGGAAATGGATGCAATATTACTTACTAGGGCTGTCACGATAGCAGTTTTCAAAACATCGATGCATCGACCTGAACTATCGATAGTGTATCGATGCATCGGGTGGGGGCCGGAGGATTCCATCTTTTCTCGCTGCGATAGGAGCGCGGACCTCTATCCGGCTTCTAATATCTCACGCTTGTGATCGGGAGTGCAGGGGGAATGTGTGACCTTCGCAAAGAGTAATGAAACCTACCATGCCTCCAACAATCGAAGATGACATCCATTCATCGATGGATGCATCAGGACAGCCCTAATTTAGTCCTATTGCTGTTGAGAATCAGCTACCAAGCCCCGTTCACGTAATTTTTTTAAATATTTTTCTTCGTTCTACACGGTCTTCTTTGGACATCGGCACCGCTAGATAGGAAACCTGCTGATGGTGCCATACCGGCGGTTGCCGAAACGTCGGTACAGCCCTAGTATAAGCAACGCCCATGCACAATATTCACTTTTGAGTTCATAAGTAGAGATAAATGCCCCAGGGCAAGTTAAAAATTAAGAAAGTTAAGCCTGCATACTAAAGTGATAGATAGGAATATAGAGAGGGGATTAGCCAATGTAGGTTTCAAAATCAAGGGAGTATAAAAGAACAGTCCACTTCCGCAGCATGCATCTGATAAGATCGAGCCGAAGACAGAAACAGAAGAGAAAAAAATATTCTAGGTCTTCCCTCCTCTCCTTTCTCACTTCCTGCCTCCGATCCGACTTTTTTTTCCCTTCCCATCTTTCTTATAGTCAGTCCCAGCATTTCCGGAATTCGATTGTGATAATAAATCGCAAGCCCATGCGGGTCACGCCCTTCTTCCTTCCCCCGCCCGGACGGACTGTTTTGAACTGTACTCACCTCAATCCACATTTCCATGGGACATTTCCCCTTTAGAATATTTTGCCGATGCATCGCGATGGTCGAGAAAACTATCGATATCTCCAACTATCGATAGTGGTATCGATGCATCGATCTATCGTGACAGCCCTAGTACTTACCAATCTCAAATACTGTTCTGTCATCATTCTTCTTAAGTGAAATTTCTGTTCCCTCCCCCCTGCGTCTGCGGGCTGCATGTTACCGACCACTACCCTATGACCCTGTCTCATTCTTGCTAGGACACGAATTCAGGGGAAGGCATCGTGTATTGTAGATCTGCCTGAAATGGGGCTCAAGATTCCGGGCGATTATCGCTTTTTCCGCCCAGGATACCTCACCGCATTTTAAAATTTTCATTGAGATTGTAAATTTTTCTTCCCTGATATCGCTCGGGTGGGGTTTAGCGCACCCGCTCTGCTGTCCTCCCCTGTCCCTTAAACCCAAATAGCCACTGATGAGATGTGAGAATGGGCAGTTTCCAGATGCTCAATGGAGCTAGTCCTGAAAGCTTTAAATTTTTAGTGAGCCTGCATTCCTGCAAAGAGATGACAGAATTTCGTCCTGTCTGTCTCACACCTTGGTTATCAGGCAATACTTTAAGAAATAAAGAGCATTGTAATGTGAAAAGTTGGCATGCAGATATACAGTACATGGACACGTTAAGTTCGTTTTTAGTACAAATTGCCCCAAAAACAGTTCATAGCCAGCTTTGAAATTGAAGTTTGCTCGTAGTGGGAGTGGCATGAACAACAGTCCGACTTCCTATATTTCTACCTCAATGAGCATAATGCATATAATAATAATGAATGCAGTATTCAGTCTAGATTAAATCATTGACCAGAGCTACCAATTCCCTGCTGATCGAGTGATTGCTTACAAATGGAGAGAGGCTGCACGTGGCAGCATAGAAAAGTTGCCAGCTGAACTCGTGCTCTGGCACATCTTCCTGTCTCCCAGCAGTCATGAAAAGGAGGCCCGTCATTAGCCTGGGTTTACCCAGCTTGTAGAATTTTATCCGTGGAGTCTCGCTTCCTGGAGATTACCTATCGGGGCTGAGTCGGCCATCCAGTGTCAGTGGAGTGAATGCCCATAAAGGGGAAAGCCTTTAGATATTTAATACATTTAGCACTTAAAAGCCCAAGGGTTTACCCAGCGAGTCATATCGTCCGCCCGGTGGTAGGTCTCCGAGCGATGCACAGACCCGTAGTGACGGCGCCCGGCATTCGAAGCCGCGTATCTATTGACCCCCAATTTTCTATGAATATTTGAAGCGCGCGACGTACATGTACTGACCTGGGCACATGGAAAGGCTGGCATTGACGTATATTTACCGAATTTGGCATTGAAGTGTTAAAGGTTGTAGGTTTTTGCACTGGAAACTCAATGATATAATGAGAAAGCCAATGAAAACATTGATGCAAGTCATTTATGCAAACAAAAAGGAACATTCAAAGCAAGCGTTTCCTCTGCTTCTAAGGAAAAAAAAGTGAAATCTATGTACTCAGTCGTGGCTCTAACGTAACGAAAGGACACGTTGCCTCAAATCGGGATGGAATTATTTCCAAGAAACGACCCTCCCCGACGTGGCCGCAGTGACGGGAGTAGAGAACCAAGCGGAGAACCGACTCCAGCGCTGCGTGATGACTGAAAATGGAGTGCGCATGCGCTGCCTCGGGTGTGATCTTGGAGTGGAGGTCACGTGACCGGGAGGCAGTTGGCTCCTCGTAATCTCATTTTTTGCTCTTATCTGATCCCTAGATAGTTATCTATGGGACAAGTTCTAATGTATCTCAGTAGGACGAGGACGTCCAGGACGAATTTTAAAGGAGTGCCATACGAATCTCGATACGAGAGAATTTCGGAGAAACGTGTGGTCGACATTCCTTTGGCTGGCCCGTACTGCCTTCCTGAGAGCTACGTGAAATTTATTCATTCACCTTTAAATCGATGATTCTCCGAAGAGATTCAGCAGATCCATAGCGTCCAGGCTTGAGAAAACTGGAAATATATTTTACAAGCTGTAAGGCTTGAAGATGATTTACCTTGTGTTCGTCTATAGAATCGTCACGTTAAACGCTATATGTATACACATTAACGCTATATGTATATGTATATGTACACATTGGAAATGAAATCAGAGTAGGCCTATCTCAGTCTTTTTTTATTTATTAAAATTTTAGTTATCATTGAATGCAAGCATAACTGCGATTGTGAGGGATCATCATGTCTTAACTGGGCATCATGCGATTTGCTGCTCTAGTTCTCTCGAGTGGAGATGAAGTGGAGCCTCGAAAATGATTCCGATCTGAGAAAAACAAGCATAGACGAAGATAATCAAATGAAAATGAGATACTTCTCTACTGAAAGAGACAATGGCCACAGTACGGGGGGGGGGGGGGGCTGTGTCACGCGCCTCCACTGCCTACCTCTCTGCGGGCATGGTGCTGGAGGGAGGGAGTCGTAGCTTGGGCGCCGACCTTCAGTTCTTTCGTCTGCTCGTTTCGCTCTCGCTGAGGAACGGGTGGAACCTGGTTATCCGAGATTCCTGGCCTCGTCGGCTCCGCGTTGCTCGTTCCGCGAGGGATTCGTCGCGTCGTCTGCGATGCGAGGCGATGTGAAACGAGTGCGCTCTTTGTCTTCTTCGCTGGAGTGTCCCTGACAGACAGCGAGAAGCAGGAACTTGGACCGGAGATCGACGTCTCCATGAGAAGCAGTAGGCCAGTTGGTCGCATCCCGTGGGCGTCCCTTCCTCAGGTAAATATCCGAACTTTGTCGATTTGGTTGGAAGCACTCGAGAATACTGCCTTTCCTTGATGTCTCCCACCTGAGGGTTTAATTTATCCAGTTTGTCTCTGGCAGGAGATTTGAGACACGTATGCATGATCATGAAGAAATTCCCTGACGCCTTCGTTACGGCATTTTCTGGCAATTTTTTTCCTACATCGATGCAAAGTAGCTATAGCAGAGGATGTTTCCCAATATTCCCAAGATGACTTTTGAAAATAATGGTCAAAACTTCAAGCGGTAGAAAAACAGTTTTGAAAGAAAGCTGGCAACGATCAGCTTTTATTGCGTATGGATCAATCTTTGATCAGAGGGGTATTTAGCATATCATGGTATTGGATGATCTCTGTCCTTGAATATTACGTCGAATTCAAAAAGATACGTAGCCCGAATGGGCCAATGTGAAAGTGAAAGATGAAATGATATCTGTCGTGCTCCGCCGATAGAAACCTTCTCGGGCCTCCTCGATACGCCATCACTTCAGCATGTTTGCGAGTGACTTCGCGCGACAACAAAACGCATCGGAGGGCTCTATCCAAGGCAGCCAATCACGAACGAGAATCGAGCACCGGTGGACGCCGCTCAAGCCGCCCTCCCTTTCGTCTCGCGTTTCCTTCTATTTGTATCTCGATGTGCTTTCCGGTTGTGCGAGTCAAACATGCAGCATGCAAAGTCCTCATTCCAGGTAAATCACCGCGTAAAACCGGATGAGAGATAACTTCTCTCCCAGGTAAAGCAATCCCCAGAGGCGTATCCCACACCTGTTTATATTTCCCACGCCGAGTCGCGTGCCCGATAAGATTCGCTGGATCATGTTATCGCACCAGCGCAGTCATAGATGAAATCGTC